TCTAATTCACATAAAGGAGTGCTGTCAGGCTGCATTGATTTTTGAATAAGGTAAAATCTCAACCCACAGGAAGTTTTGAAAACTTATCTTGTGCCAAAACACGAGATCAAGAATTAAAATTCAAGACGTCGCGTGTACAGGCAAAGCGTCCACAAAAAACGATTAGTAGTGACAGACATTTTTTGTCCACAATAAGCAAAAACAGACGTGTAAAAATATTTTATACTTGCCAACAGTTTTTTAGGTAGACTGAAGAAGACAATTTGCTGTGGCTTCAGCCCCTTTATGACCATTCTATGCGTCTGAACGCGTCGCTACAGACATGTTCACAGTGTGGTTTTGTCATTTTGAGCCTGCGACATGGAATAGGCACCGTGGCATTTGATATCAAGAAAAGTTGCACAAGTATGCAGACATTACACCCTCTTCCCCCGACTCATTGAACGTGCAACCATCGCTTTTGTTGTCGTTACATAAGAAATAAGAATCACAAACACTCTTCGGTGAAGTGAAGCGCGAGGAATGATACAAATAATGCCTTCACAAGGACGTTATTGGTTTTCAAAAATCAATAAAATGCGAAAACTATTGAAACAATCACTGTATTATGGGCGTAGCCAAAAGGGCGGTTCAAACCCTCCCTTCATATTTCAATTTCGTTTGCTTATGTGTATAAACACATACATATAAATGCACACACGAAGAAACATAAATTATGGTTGTACCGTACCAGACAAAACTTTCTGGCCACGCTACTGCTCCACATGCACCCTCGTACACTGGTATTTTTGATTTCGTGTATAAAAAATAAGATTTATCAGTTTAATCAGTCGAAATTAAAAAAAAAGAGCTTTCTTTTCATTGCTTTCTTTAAGAGATCGAATGCTTAAAAAACTATTGTGTTGTTCTCAGAAACAGCGTCATCTCACCTGAAGTACCCGAATAATTGTGATTGCAATAAATCCTACGTGTTCTACAAACATTGGCGTCATGTGGAACGTGCAAGGAAGCGATATCAGAGTTGTGCTTTCTTCACGGAACCGTCGATGCAGCCTCCATCGCATTATAGTCACCAAAGTTTTACCCACATATCCTAGCCCCGGACGGAACACTTTCTTCAAGCCACTCAACAGGAGTTTTTATTCAGTACATCATTAGTACGACTGAGGAGTGCAGGTACAAAAATTCGAGCTCTCAACTATTTTTGAGACGTGCCGCGCTGCATGCCTTAAAGATTGCAATGTGGGATTGCACTGCTTTTGGCCACACTGGCTGCTGCCTAGTGGGTCAATGTCACCGTACATGTGCTGGCTACGTCTTTGCTACCTTTTAAAAAATTTTAACACACACACATACACACACGCAAACGCACACACACACACGCACACACACGCACACGCACGCGCGCGCGCGCGCGGACGCATTCACGCAAACGTGCGCGCGACGAATAGAGAAGTCTTGTTTTAAATGCGAAGAGTTTCTATGCGTACTGCAAGCACTTTTCACATCTATCTATCTATCTATCTATCTATCTATCTATCTATCTATCTATCTATCTATCTATCTATCTATCTATCTATCTATCTATCTATCTATCTATCTATCTATCTATCTATCTATCTATCTATCTATCTATCTATCTATCTATCTATCTATCTATCTATCTATCTATCTATCTATCTATCTATCAAGCCGCCTACGTCAGGGTGCTCTTGTGATCATGCACTTGGACGAAATCAAAATTAGTATGTGAGGGTAAGATGATTAAACGAATACGACTCGCTGGTCACGACATGAATAATGTCACAATCCGGCTGCGTACGTCGTCAAACGTTCTTAGCTGAGGCATATATATACCCGCATATCAGTCGCACATACCCACCCGTACGTCTGTGCGACTGTAATGCGGGTATATGCCACAGGTGATTGACAGTTCTTATCTACCACCCACACGGGTAATATTAACGCGTAAGCGTTGAGGAATAGCTTACATTGGCTGCGCTGACCCGATGAATGCAAAGAAAAAATGTGAGGGGTCTCAGCATGAATTTAAGACCAGCGTTATGCGTGGTAACCAAGTATTCTACCAAACACGCGCGAAAGGTCTCGCCACTACTTTTAGACCATAATCTTTGTGAAGCGTCAATGCGGGATGCAGTGATGACTACTCAATTTTATAAACATTACATATGTAATCCTACGATACAGCCCTCACGTCAGATTGAGATCAAGTGTAGTTAAGCACAATGCGCTGAATGTGATTGAGAGCTCATATCAGCCAAGGGACGGCGCGAACAGACACTGATAATGTTATTTCGAAAGCGTTGATAAGATCACTGAATCTCCACAAAGTTAATGACAACGAGTGAGCGAAGCCATAGGTCCTAAAGTAAATAATGTCTCCGTTGAAGTCGCCGACTGGGATAAAGGACGGACAGGCGCACGGACGGACGCATGAACAGACGAATACGTGGACGTATGCACGGATGGACTGATAGGCAGACGGATAGATGCATAGACAGATGGACAGACGGAGGATGTGACTGGTCATGCGTTGTGCTGTCGTATAGTTGATTACACAGAAAGTGGGTTGTTTACACATATGTGTTTGTTTTTGTTGTGCGGGTGTTCAGTTTCGGCTTGTCCTTTGGGGAGCGTGATGACAGCCGACTAGGTCCGCCCTAAGAAGCTTCGCCCCTAAAAGCTGGCAGCTGCTGTGTTGACTCAACGAATGCAATATAACTTACCGATTCTCATCATTGCTGGAGAATTTGATGTGGATAATCCAAACGCAATCATACCTGGTTCACACTACAATTGAAAGACGTTTTCTATGTAGACAAAGCCTACCAAAATCTCGTGCCCACGACGATGAACGAAGGTGTCACTGACAACATATTCATTACACTCATCAACAATTTCAAACAAATAAAGTATATGTCATACTTCAGTGTAAACATGCTCCTCAATGCTGCATTAACGGACGATTATAGGAACAACTGTACTTCTGCTGATGGGGCTGAAATTTCACAGTGATTTGGCCCAAGTTATGGAGGTGTCGACAGCCAACTGGAAACGTATTCATAACCCATCGGCACATTGATGTCACAGATACGTCACAGACGTACGCGTATTCGCAACGTGTACGCACGTAACCACCATCACGGGCTAATCAAAGATTTCTGCCTACCACAGTTGATGCTGGTGGTGCGTGTAGTGCGTGCAGCTAATCTCCATCCATCCGCATGCTTCGCATAACGTGCATTCCCAAGGTGCGTGAGATCTGCCTTTTTTTACACTGCCACAGCACAGCACTTCAGTAAACGAGTGCCCAATCATTATTTGATGCATTCACTTGACCCTTCTGAATAACTGTGTCTGTCATGCACCTTCATCAATGTGACAATGCGAAAAAAAAGAACTGTGTCGCATAAAACCGGACTTCGCATTCGTCCTTCATTGTTGGTTTTAATCATGTTTGTTTATCACATTCAGAAAAATATATCAGAACACCTACTTCACCACTCCCGGTCTTTCAAAAACGAAAAGCCTGTGATCGACACGTTCCTAAACAAACTATACAAAATATTCTATATATTTTTGCGTACTGCTATAGCAGTAATGGCGTCTATCTATCTATCTATCTATCTATCTATCTATCTATCTATCTATCTATCTATCTATCTATCTATCTATCTATCTATCTATCTATCTATCTATCTATCTATCTATCTATCTATCTATCTATCTATCTATCTATCTATCTATCTATCTATCTATCTATCTATCTATCTATCTATCTATCTAGCCGCTTACGTCTGGGTGATCACCTCCTTAACCTGACGTGAATCAAAATTAGTGTGGGAGGGTACGATGGTTTGACAAATATGACGCGCTGGTGAAGACATGAATAATGTCAAAGTCCCGTCGCGGACGACGTCAAACACTTTTCTCCAGACAGCAGCACATACCCGCGGGCGGGTATGTGCTACAGGTGTGCGGGTGTGTGTCATAGCTGATTGGCACTTAGTATATACTTAAGAACGGCGAGAACACACGTGGGCAATTTAAACGCGTGAGTGAGCTGACATCGGCAGCGTTCACCCGACGAATACAAAGGATAAGTGTCAGGGTCACAGAAGGAATCGAAGCCCAGCATTCCGCGTAGCAATCAAATATTCTTCCACAGGGCCATGCTGGGTCTCGGAACTACTTTTCAAATAGACTCTTAATACTCGTGAAACGTCAGTTGTAGTTGCAGTGCTGGCTATCCAATTTTGTAGACATTACATATGTACTCCGATTATACAACCGTCACGTCGGGCTATATCCACTGAATTTGGTTTATCTAGCAGGTCCAGGGCTACCATCCTCGTGAGCACCAGCGCTTCACGTGCACCCAAATCTGAGCACACGGGCCTACAGTATTTTCGCCTCCATCGAAAATGCAGCCACCGCAGCTGGGATTTGATCCCGCGACCAGCGGGTCCAAGAACAACAGAACGTCACGAACTCCGGTGCCATGAGGTTAATGTCAATAAGAAGTTTCCTTTACGCACTCATAGACTTGCTCTAGTGCAAAGGGTGCATCAGACGCCCCTGTCACTCGGTGCTTACGATGCTCTGCAGTTGACGCGAAAAATGTAGATTAGATCCTGCCACCGCCTGTCAGATTTTATTGCAGGCGAAAAGTTAGGAGCCCCGTGTGGTGTGCGATGCAAGCTCAGGTGATCAAAACTGAGCGGAACACTGTTATATGATGTTTCTTATCTATAAAGTGGTTTTTTTCTCGTTAATCCTCACAAACCGACCAACCAGCAGAAAATGAAAGCACAAAACGAGGAACTGAATTTAATGCCATATAATATTCTTTCGCTGCAAAATATTTTTGTAGCTGGCATACATGCGCACTTCAAACCGGGCTCAAGTAAATTCTGAGTACGTGAGCACCTGAAGTTGCACCAGATTTTCACTATGTAAAATAAATTTTCTTTTTTTTTTCAATATTAAAAATAGTCTTTCAGACATCCCTATAGTAGCATGTTCAGATGCGCTCCACACACCAACACACCAACTGTACGCCGGTTGGCTAAACTGTCGACAAAGCCTAAGTTGCTGCTGACAGCTGATAGTCCACCGAAAACACCGGGCAGCCACGCAGACTGCAGTACCGCGCAGATCCCACGGGAAGACATGAACACATTACCTATCAACAATTGAACTTTTCGAGCTGTTCGTCTCGACGTCCGTCATGTTAGAAGCGTTCCTAGTAGTTGCCATCGACGAGCTGTCGTCCTCGTTAGCGGAAGTTTGTTTTTGTCCAGGTGATGGCGGTAAGACCGATAGAACCAGCCGTCCGTCTTTCGTGAACTCCGTGCTGATAGAATCCGGCGAGACACCATCTGGAAGTCTAAACTTGCGCTCCATTTTCTTCCAGCTTTTTGTGGCCTCGTTTTCGACGACCACCGTCTTGTCGCTCTCACTTGCAGTCACCCACACAATGCCATCGCGCACCCTTACAGTCACAGATTCGGGCCTGTAACCCGTCAAGTCCAATTGCTTTTCCTCGTAGTTACTGCATCGACCACCACCAACTTTCCGGAACGCCTCCAAGTCTGGGTCCAAGAAGGCACCCAGATCATCCACGCAGTCAGGGTGGTCACGAGCGAAGTCTAGCCACTCGGCATCCAAGTCGGCACAGTCGTCTCGATCGGCGACCTGGTATGTCTGAATGATCGAGTGCACTTTATGAACGCGCACCTCTAGGCCTCCTGGTGTGGACCATTCGCGTGGGAAGTTCACGGGCACCACTAGCTGGGACTTGGCAGTTGGCTCCATTGAAAGCGTCGTTGTGGACTCGCAGCTACTTCATCAAACACACAACTGAAAGTGCGCACATGAGCCCCGAAACAGTCCGTTGCTATGAAATAGCGTTCCAACGCAGTTTCGATGGTAACAAGATGGTATTACTATTGATGCCTCAAAATAGTTTTGAAGTGCTCGCGTGCAACGATGGCTCTAGGCATATCGGTCATGCGGCCGTCAGCGGCAACGTTAAGGCGCAGGCGACCATGGCTCTAATAATGATGCCTAAGACTTGGTCGGTGGATGTCTGCGACGCCTGCGGACGCGAACCGCACGGTCGGTGGAATGAGCTTGGCACGTCGCGTGCTCCGTTATTTATAAACCTTTCCCTGCTGGCCCAGTCTGAGCGCCATCGCAGGGGCGGCAGGTCGCGCGTCAAGCGGCCCAGCTGTTGCAGGCATTGCTGGCGCGCTTCACCTGTGGACCATTATCCGTCTTTTACGCAACCGGAGTCGTTCATTTACGCGTCATCGCCGTCATCACGGAGAAGTTAGTAAACGAGTTTGCAGCATACTACTTGATGGTGCTCGACTGCTGAGTCGAAGGTCGTGGGATTGAATCCCGGCCGAGGTGGTCGCATTACTGATGGGGATAGAAATGCTTTAGAGCCGCGTTCTTAGATTTGGGTGCACGTAAAAGAACACAGGGTGGGTAAATTTTTCGCCACCCCCTCTCCCCCGAAGTACAATGCCTTTCATAATCGTATCGCAGTTTTGGGACGTTCCACCTCAACATCATCAGTTTTGGTGAAAAACAAACACCCTGATGAATTGATAGATTGAACAATTATATTATAGCCTGCTTTTCAGAACAGATTAATTTGTGCTCAAGGCAGCGGTATGCTTGCGAATAATATTTCACAGAAGGTGTCGCGCATATTGTATTGTAGTAGGAGCTCACGTATAGAGGGTCACGCCCAGCCATGGTGGTCTAGTAGCTAAGGTACTCGGCTGCTGACTCACAGGTCTCAAAATTGAGTCCCAGCGGCCACGGCTGCATTTTCGATAGAGGTGAAAATGCTGTAGGCCCATGTGCTCAAATTTGGGTGCACTTTAAAGAACTTCAGCCCTCCACTATGGCATCTCTCAGAATCATATGCTGGTTTGGGTATCACTTCTATCAATTGCATAGAGAGCCACATCATGTTAGATTTAATATGAGCGCATGCCTACCAGCCGAACATCTAGATGCACTTTATCAGTGCATCTAGATGTTCCTCTACATCTAGATGCAGTTCCTGTTGATAAGAAATATAATTAACTGAAGCCGTCTTGATGAACTAGATGGTTCACGATAACGCCTGGATAGAGAGATCCCTCCGACAACTGATCTGTCGGGCTGACGACACGCTCTAAAAAGCTCATTGATAAGCGAGCAATAATGTTGAAAGAGTTAACTGATCTAGCAGAAATGAAGAGCAGGTTGGATAAATAAAGTGATCTGCCACAAAGGCCAATCAATGAACGCGATAGCAAAAAAAGTCGAAGATCTCGCTCAGAATGGCAAGCAGATCAAAACGTGCGTCGTGTTTCTCCCGCACGAATCACGCACGAAACATATTCACAGGTACGGATGAACGCGAATAAGCGTCTCCGAGCTTACTTCGCTGTGTCTGAAAAGCGTGCCCTTTTCGCAAATGGAGACTGTGTAACGATTTCAGTTACCTTTGTGTGCCCGGTAACTACAACAGAATCGGTCTGGTGAAAGTCCAAAGCCAGTTAGGACGTAAGATTATCCTCACCACGAGATAAGGGCGCGCGAGCGAGCATCCACCTTCCTCCTCTCCGTGGCGCAAATTACCCGTAGGAGATGAGAGCGCACGCCACCACGTCGTGACGATTTGGTAACGTGCGCTCATTGCGCCATCTTGCTGTTAATGCTGAAAACACGATAGCGTCCCCCTCTCGAAATGCCCGTCTCCAGTAGTAAGTGGTAGATATGAATAGCTTGCCGTTTGAACGTCGCAGGACGTGCTTCTTGGTGGCTCAGTGGGTAACGCCTCGCACTCACAATAGAGAGGTCTCACGTTCGACTCCGCGCGCTGGAGTCTTTTGCTGGAATATTTTTATCGCGTTTTCAGATATGTAGATACGTATTCATATATGGTCTTTGATGATGATGCCCACGTCGACGCCGACGCCAAAACCCAGACGAGAGTGTCCATAAGCGGACCACTTATGCTATGTTTTTGCGCCTTGCGCTCAAACATTGCAAAGAAAGCTACCGATCAGCGGGGGCTCTAGCACGTTGAACCACTCTGTGATGCCTTTATTGTCGTTTGCCTGACCTGAAGTTTACATCACAGCTGACGTATATAGTTTAAGGCAGAAAACAAATAGAAAACGCTGTTTGGGCGTCTTACCGGCTAAAATAATGATTCTATTGCTTAGAAAACGAATTCAATTACTGCTGCTCTATATCTGAATTGCCGTGAGTCGATGAGGGTGTATAGAAGTGTGTTTGAGGGGGCACAAGCATGGCATAAGCGGCCCGCAACGCAGCTAACAATGCACAGTTGCAAGACACGGTAAAAAACCCAATCAGCAAAAGCCTACGAGAAATATATTACGAAATGTCACTATATAAATTACATGAGATCTGCGCTCAATGAAAACTTTAAGTTATTTTTTCAGTGGGCAGCTGACAATGACCACTGGTGAAAGAGCCCCCTTTACTTTTTTTGTGGGAAGGGGCAAAGCTTTCCTAGCCCCCCCCCCCCCCCCCCCGGGGAGCTACGCCTATGCTGGCATCCTTATAATAAAATTATGACACAGCATGAATCGCACAGGAACAGCAACAACAAATTGTTTTCCTGGCGTCATGTTTTGACGAAGCTATTGGAGTGGCAATGACGCGAGTAAACACTTTTTATATAGTAAGTGCGTCATTGTAGGTACAGATGGTATTGTGTTGGGGCAGCCGCCGACCAGTCGCTAACAGAAGCCTCTGCCGGAGACACGCTTCGTGGCTTTCTTCCGCGAGCGGCGTTCTGTCCGCGTTAACAGGCTGACTGGAAAATAACAAAGGCAAAAAAAGTAGCCATACCATAGAAATGACTGCTCCTAGAACTCTGACTAAAGGGCGTGCATCTTTGCCAAAAACATACGAGGAAATGAGCCGAAGCTTGGGGCGTTCTACTGCCAAGAATGTGCGAAGAGACTGGGCCGCGCGAGCGGCGACCTCATTCTTGAATACTCGGCAGAGAAAGCTACTTTGAGCGGCACATTCCATCCAGGCGCCTGCACGAGTCGCGCCATGCGTGTCAGGCATCTGTCCTCTGCCGTCATCCTATTTATTTCCTTTACATGGCTTATTAAAGAAAGAGAAATATCTTATGTTTGCACCTTTCTCTTTCTTTTTTTCACTCACTTGCTTTTCGTGATTTTTGTTGTAGTTAACTCTTTGGTGTCAAAGGCGTGGTGGCACCAGCCTCGGTCGCTGGCAGCTAGCCACACGGGTCACGAAGTTCTGTTGTTTAGACTGAACGGGCTTCAACCCACCAGGTTGTTTTTGCCGATACTTCTTTTTACTTACCTGCAGCCATCTTATTTTTTTGTTGTTGTTCTTTTCTTTGACAAGTTTACGACGTCCTCGCTCGTACATTGAAGCGTAACCGCGCAGTGCGAACGGCTGACCCCTCAGCCAGGACGCGGGAGCACGGCTAGGGTCGTGTATTTGGTATGGTAAGTGAAATAATGCGTACACTGCGGGAATACTTCACTCATTAAGTTCGTGAGGCCATCGCAGAGCATGCTGCGTGCAGAACAGTTTACCTCGGTGCAAGGACAGCGTAACGAAAAGAAATTAGTGTGTAAGTACAATAGATGTGCCAAAAAGGGGGCAAATAAATTGAGTAGGGTATAATTGAGTAGGGTAATTGAGTAGGGTATCTATAAAATAAGTAGGGTATGCGAAGAAATACCAACACTGATATTAAACTGCTATCAATAAACAACGACATCTACTTGCAATTTCAGGTAAATAAATGCCTTAATTTCCTATACATTTTTCTATGCGCGTTCAAGTCAATAGTTGGCTACCACTGCTCATATTTATTTGAAGATACAATAAAATTGCATCTTGTGAAACTAATAAATATGAAAGCATACGAATCATTTTAAGCATTTATGTTTCTTAGATCAGAGTGATGAATGAAGAACTAACAGGTTAGATGATATTGTAATGCCTGTGAATACATCTATCAACGCGATACCCCTACCACTGCTAGGCCTGTACTGAATTGAATACTTTTTCGTAATACTACCTCCCCAATAATAACAAGCTTTGCATCACCTAAATTTCAAATTTTGTTGATCTTAGCTATGCCCACTATATGCTCATGACAATGTTAGAATAAAGAAACGATGAAGCTTTTTCTTTTAGTTGGTGAGGTATAAGCCACATATATGATTACACGAGTCCAGGCTGGCCACCTATAGTTGTTAGCTGTAGGCGCCACGAGAGAGGAGGCGTAGTATGTATATTTAATTCTTGTGTGTGAAAAAAAAATGTGCCTTAAAAGTGTGTACACTGGGAACTGAGACATGCAGCTGAATTTACCCTATATAAGGTTTGATACCCCATCACAATACATTTCTTTTTGGGGATCGGCCAAGAATAAACATCACACTCAGTTTACTAGACCAGACAGCATCCGTTCATTATAGCAAGTATTGAGTGACCTAGTTCGTCACTATACACTACAAAACAGAAGTTAGCACGTACCAAATGTCCATAATTGTCTATGTACATTTTCATATTACCAAACCAACAACTGATGATGAACGAAACATTCCACTTGAAGGCACGACAAAAAAAAGCATCTCATTTATTAACACGACAAAAGCCTCAGACAATGCTTCCAGTTTCATATCGTCCCGACACATAAAGAGGGCCTGAATCAGTTTTCCAAATAATCGTAGAATGAAATAGGCATCGCAGTTTATTGCCTCACTAATCAATTGCGACTAAAATTTCTGTAATTCACCAAGAAAGAGTGGAATTAAATGCATTGGCTGCATGCTTTAAATGCTTTCTTCTATCGTCTCGACAACCATGCTCGAAGCTACTCATGAAGGGGTGTCATGGGGAAAAAAAGAGGTGATGCAAGTGCGTCATGAC